ATGTACAGAGGACAATGGAGTCTGGAGCACAAGAACAGCTGGGGGTGCTGGGCATGTTGAGTCTGAAGAAAAAAGGAGACCTTATCACTCTCTACAACCACCTGAAAAGAGGCTGGAGCCAAGTGGGGGTTGATTTTTCTCCCAAGTAACAATTGGTAGGAAGAAAAGAACCAAGGGAGGTTCAGATTGAATAATAGGAAAATTCCTTCATGGAAAGGGTTGTCAGGCATTGGAACAGGTGGCCCAGGAAAATGGTGGAGTCACCATTCCTGGAAGTATTTAAAAGATGTGTAGATGTGACACTTCAGGACATGGTTTAGTGGCAGACTTGGCAGTGCTCAGTTAAGGGTTGGACTCAATGACCTCAAGGGTCTTCTCCAACCTAAACAATTCTGTTTCTGACCACCTTTTTCCTTCTACACTCATGACTACAGTAGTTCCAAAGACAAGTTGAAGCAGTCAGAAAAACAGGCACAACCAAAGGAATTGATTTTTCTGTAATCATTTGATTCCTTTCTCCCTCTGCTCTCCTGCTGCTAACTGGCATAGCAAGTCTTTCCACAGGCTGGTGTCCCACATTTAACAAAGTGATTCCCCGGCACTGCTGTGAGAGTTTGCAGTTGGTTTTCGCGGTACTGCAGCAGCACAAACTGGGAACTGCCGAGAAACCACCCCACTCAGTGTAAACATTTCCAAGCCCAGGGTAGACCAATAATAATTTGTTATTGATATCTATATTGGCTATGATCTCTGCCCCTGTCATGTGGGGGTAACTATGTACTCAACCCACAAACATTAGCAGAAATAGACATGTGAGTTGAACAAACCTATCAGCCTACTATAACATGTAAAACTGTACCATGTCCTATTAGATTCTCAGAGAAGAGTTGTTGTTAGAAAACATTTCATTTAAAAAGCTCAAAAAATAATCTTCACATATGGTTTTAAATGTCAAACATTTAACATACATTTCACCATAAAAGACTTCACGGATGAGTTTGTGAGGCTATTTTATCCACCAAGACCGGATTTTAAGATCATGTGTCTGCACCGGTGAGAATTGCTAAGGTTGCAAAAGCCAGACATATGACAGGAAACTTCATTCTTTATCCTCTTAGAGGTGTTAAAAACATGTTTATGCCCCATGGGAAAAATGGGTGACCAAGAAACCGCATCTTCATATGAGAGACTGGGTGCCAGTGATTTTCTGTGGCAGATCACAAATCAGGTTGATAAGGAGAGGTTGTATGCAATGTCCAAGGCAGTGTTTAGTCCAGCTTAACATCTTGACCTTGCTTTTATTTAACTCAGTCTCACATTCACGTGCTGGCAGCCAGCTTCTCTTAGCTGCAATCATAGATAGGTTGCAAACTTTTTGACTATGTATTTCTAAAGACCCCAGCAGCTCTTATCAGTGCACTGAGGATTTAAACACTGTGTAACTGAGATCAGCAGTTTTACAGAGACATGTGACTGAGGGGAATGGAAGGTGTCCCTAATGAAAATGTTGTGTCTTTTCCTTCTGAGTTGAAATGCTCACAATGTCCATTTATCTCAGGAAGGTTACTGTTCTAGCAGCCTGAATAAATAAAAAGCTGAAGATCTTGAAAGACAGAATTTCATCAGCAGGTTCCCCTGGTAGCTTTTTAGTTGAATGATCCTACTAATCAAATGGTGTAAGTCAACAAGCTGAAGACAGGAAATTATCCACGACTCTCTATTCTAACTGAACTCAATCAGTTGCCAAGAAACCCTGAAGGTCACAGGTTTGAAAATAGACATGTTTAAGCTTGCCTTTTCCCACCTGATTTCTGTTGGGACCAATGCCTTCCCAGCAATTTTCCAAAGGCCCTATGAGAAAAATTTAGACTTTTTTTCTCCTGATTGTTCAATAAATGACACTATGCCCTATGTAAAATGCACTGTTCAAACTCTTGTCCTAAATACTAAATAAACAATTTATTTTTGGACATTTATGGCATCCAGTGTTGTAGCATCAAAGTGCTTCAGAAACACCTACAAATTTCTTATTTGCAGCCTTCCTCTAATATAAAGATTATTTAACCCCATACTACAAGGAGGAATGTGAGGAATAAAGGCCCTGAGTCACCTAGGACCTGATTTCTAAGAGCATACGGCATTAAATAAAATGTTACTGTTTCAAAGCCACATTTCTATTGACCATACCTGGATTTGTAAGTACCCAATACTCTGCAAGTCAGATCCAGATATATTTCATAAGCATTTGAAAATTAGGAACTCAGAGTTAGTGCCTGTTTCTGAAGACTTAACCCCTTGAAAACAGATTTGAAACAGAATTTCAAGCTCTGTAAGATAAGCATCACATGGGTGAATGCACCAGTGAAGGCTTAGATGTCACAGAATGGGATCTCAAATAGTCAGAAAAATGATAAAGAACAGTGTGAAGCCAGCACTCTTCACATGCCACACACATGTGAAGACACACATCCAGTGCAGACAGAGGATGAGCCTTAAAAACATGAAAAATTGGGGGAAAATTGTAATTTTCACAGAACATACTCTCACAGGGAATCTACAGGGAAACCTAAGCCTTGAACCTCTTTGCCAAAATTCCTTTTGTTAAAATTCCCTGCTGTCTTTTCTTTCTGGGGCCTAAATATAATTTGCTACAATTTTTTTAAGATGGTTGATAGAAGAAAAACACTTCCCTTCCCTGGCTGAACAATAATGCCTGAAGTGGTTAACTTCAGGAAATGAATGCCTTAAGCTGCTGTCCAAGCCTGACCATGGGACTTATTATTTGAGCTGGAGATTACTTTAGCCACAAAGCTTCTGGTTACTGCCCATCTTTCACCACAGAGATGCCCACTAAAAATTAGCAATACAACAACTCAGGGAAAGATGAAAACAACATGAAGGAGGGCAAGAGATTCTCTAGTGACAAAGGCAGCCATCAAGTAAGTGCACATGGCCTGGAATCTACTATTTAGTTTGGCCTTTGGAGTTATCCAGTGATTACTGTGAAAGAGTGTCTCTGAAGGCAAGACTAGAAATAAGTCTTTAGCCTTCTAGCTAAATGGTATTTCGGGCTTCTGACCTCTTTTGTCCTCTTTTGCTTTCTGTTCCAGCTTCTACTGGCTGAGTGCAATTCAGCCCAGTGCGTAGGTCTAGCATACTACATAGGAAGGAGCTGGATAAGCCTTTAAATGCTTTCCAAAGAACAGAGTTCAATGTGCACACTCTTTCTCCTAGAAGCATGTTCTAGAGGAGCTACACTATTTCCTACTCTTTGACCTTTTTAAAAGCAAGTAACTATATCTGTGAAGAAGAAAGAGTTTCACTGATGTTTTTTAAGCATTCTCCTTGGTGGCACAACACCAGCTCTCTCGGTCCTGTCAAAATCCATTTCTTCTTATAATTCCAAATGGATGTCTTCTCTATTTTTGTCTCTAAATATCTTAAATACTGCTATCTTGTGTTATAAAAAGCAGCTACTATAGTATAATTCCCCAGTAGTCAGAGGCTGCCTCAGAATTTTCCCTGTTCAGAGCTGAAGCTCTGAAGTTCCATCCTAGCTCAGTTTCAGGCATTTCTCATGTATCCTTTTCTTAAAAAGGTGACCTTTTCTCAGCATCACAAAAACTTTTATTAGCATTTACTTCCAGGTAGAATCAGTGGCAGAATCATATTTCCCAGAACATTACTCAGTCATTAAAATCACAAGGCTGCTTTGCTTTTTCCTGCAGTTTGCATCGCAGCCAGCATGCATCCTCCAGCAGCAAGTAGATGAGAGTTAAGCAATGAGACCAGAAATGGTCTCCCACTAAACAGGTTGTTGAAGTATTATTCTGTAATATTTACCCTTAGGACTCCAAGGAGTATACCACCTGCACAAGAGAGATTTTACTACATGTAAAATATGTCAATATTAGTAAATTTAACACTGTCAGAACAGTGCTCAGATAATGAAATTCAGCTTCTAGGGCTGTTACAGTTCTGGCATGGTTTTGTCTCACATCAGCTAATGATCCCTCAAACAACTCTGAGCCACAATCAACTTCTTGTATAGTTCAGGACTTATGACAGACAAAAGACCATCCCAGAAAAAGAAGTTTGGACTCAGCCATCATGTTATAGAGGCTGAAAACAGTTGTTACAGGTGTGCCAAATATGATAAAGATCAGGATATGATTGATCCCATCAAATGAAGTGGAAAGTTACTGCTGGGTAAAAACATTTTCTGTGGAATGTAATTTTCTGCAGGGTAAAATAATTTTCTGTAGCCCACTAGAGGGTGCAGACACATCTGCGCTACCTTCAAGATTTACTTCTATGTTTCTGAGACCTGAATATTTCAGGGGCTTCTCCAGAGTATCTGGGGGAAAGACCTGAAAGAATCACACCTTGCTGTCCTCTACAAATCCACTTTCATCATCAGCAGCTTGTAACCCAAAGTCTCTCTTCCTCCTGTTAATTGCTGTCCAGATCTCACCCTCTGTATTCTACCTCGAGTTTGTACTACCAGTTTGCCTTTTTTTGGTCTCATCCTCACCATTTCAGTGCTTACTTATCCACAGTTTCCTACTCTATCTCTTACCACTGCCTGTGTTCCAGGGGGATTTCCCTTTGATCCCTGCACTGCTTGACTGTCACAAGGTGAAGCAACAAAAGTACAAAAGGCTTATTCTCACAGCTTTCAACTGCTGAACCATTGTAGCCCTAAAGTGGGGTCTATTTGGTGTATCCAGGATTCTAGGAGAACAGGATTTCAATTGGGCTTGATTTAGCAAGTCTCAAAAACCAATCATGTTTTTCAGAATTTAGGGGGTAGGGCAGGGAAGAAAGAAAAAATCCTAACAAGATTATTTCTGCCTTTGTGCTTACTCACCTACTCAAAGCTTGTGTTCCTGAATATTCCCTTATTGCCTCAGCAATTGCCTCATACAGCTAAATTCTGCATGTAACATCCTGCCAAAGAAAATGCAAAACTTTTCATCTTAAATGTTGACCAGACTTACAGGCAGTTCCCTAAGGAATTTGTCTCGCCATCTCACTGCTGATGTTTCCGTGCTGCAGCAGATCAGATTTCCTCTATGAGTAAGATCTGCAGAAAGGAACAAACAAGAAATCTTTTAGGGGAAAAAAAAAAAAATAAAGTCATATATAAAGATAATTACGAAGAGTGACACTGACAAGCACTGATAACATTTTCTATTTTCTTTCTCAGCCTCAAGTATATGCTTCCCTAGCCGTAAAACATACCTGTGTAGGACTGCCAATGCTTCAGATTCTAGACATCTTAAGATGAAGATAAAAGAGCACATATTTGTTGGTTTGCTATTTTCCCTTTTCATTTTTGCAGATGTGAATCGGGTGCAGGGTATCTCACAGTAAGTAGCCCTAGTTGCTTCTTCATGACCTTAGCAAGGTGTAATTTCTGTTCTTATTTCAAGATTTAATCAGCAGTTGGGAGAGCAAGGATTTTCAATTCACCATCTGCTGAGCCCAAATTCTTCATGCAGTACTGTGAAAATGTGACAAAAATGTGCAGCTCTTGATGACCAAACTTACAGATCCCTGGCCCCAGCCTGAACAACTCTTGGATCCTGATCAGTATGTGTGCAAAAAGGCCGAATCTCTCTGTTAGGATATCAATGACAGCTAAAACACAGTATTTAATTATTGATCTGTTGCATGAAGCATACACAGATTTCTCTCTCTTTCCCTGAGTATTTAGCTTTAGTTAAATATTCATCAACACTGAAAAACAAGATTACCAATATAAAAATTCTGTAAGGACAGAAGGCTTCCAATCAAAAATACATTAAAAGAGACTGGATCAGACATTACCAGATTCAAAGATATATAAAATTAATCCTGTGGGATATTTCTGATTGATTAGCAACTAAATTTAGACAAAAATTGAATTACATTATCCATTTCAAACTTATTTTAAGTAACAACCTTAACTCTCAGGCTGCGTCCCTCTCAGGTTTCCTGTGTATAAATAGTAAGCCCAAGAGGAACACCACCTTGACTTTCCCATTTGAGATCTGGCAGTAAGAATAATCAAGCCAGAACAACAATCCCACAGTCATTTAATTATAAATAGAACTCATTTCATCCAGGAGTTCTGGAGGCAGCAGTCAAGGTCCAAATTGTAATGTCATTTCTGTAATGTCATTTTTCAGAAAAGAGCTACATTTTCAAGCTCCTTTTGCATGCTGTGAAGAGCATGGAACCGGTGCCAATAAATATGCCTGATAAGAAAACCTCCATTCTGTCCAGCTGAAAGCTTTGCAAATATTAGTTTTCAGCAGCGAACCCCCCATAACTTCTATTTTGAAACAACTTTTTATCTGGGAACTGTGCAAATGTGAAGTTTTTAAGTGGCAATATATATGCACAACACCAGCATATATTTTAGATGTGTGGTGACACAATCTTGGTGTGCCTTCATTTTCAAGCAGGACAGGGGAGTCTACCACAGTAACTTGCTGTGGCTGAGTTGTGTCTGGGTTTCTCCCCTCTAGCCACTCGATCAGAATGAAGCAGTTACTGTGGCAGACCAAAGCTACCATACAATGAACGACCTTTCTGCTATTTGTTTGTTTTCGGTGCTGTTACACATAACCCCTCCACATAACAAACGGCACCCTCCAACAGAGGAGTGCACCGTTTCCCACATCAAACAAAGATACTGATGCTGAAAGAGCACTGAGAGCAAACATTTTATATCACCTGAGCTGGCCTTTTCTGCACTAACAGTCATCAGCGAAAGCCTAATTGTCTGCACAGGCAGACCTATCTGAGTTGAACCCAAACCCGTGCTGCAAGACATAAGGTGAATACACAAGCAGTGGGTAAGATGCTGGATGGTGACAGGGAATGCCTGGATTCAGTTTGCTCTTCCCACACAAAGCTGCTGAGAACTTTCCCTTGAGCTGTGCCTATTCATTAACTGGGAAATGTGACTGCAGGATGGTAGGCACATCTCAGCCAGCTTTCCTCCAGAAAACTATGGCATAAGCTGCACGAATTTACCAACTAACATCATACAGACCTATAAGGAACAGCAAATTGCTTAGCACTGATGTTCAAACTAAGACTAAGGCTGATGCAAATGCTTCTACCCCTGCCATAGCCTCTTCCCTACCAGAACAGTGACGTGTTCTCTGGTTGTTTCTAAACTGACACAGCTGTTTGCAAGGGAAGACTGGGGTTCTTGATCAGATTGCCTGCATGGGGCAGCTACAAAAACCAGGGCACCGGTCTGGTACCAGCTGAGATTCATTTTAAGTCCCCATCTGTAGATGCAGTGACAAAACTTCATGTAGATCATTGAGTCTGTTGAAGGTGAAGCTCATTACAGAGGTTCAATTGCTACTCTAACAGCAATTTCACAAGTAAAGTGGAAATAATTTAGGAATGAAGTGCCAACCGGGATGGAAAATTTGTGTCTGAATCAAACCAATGCTGTTAAAAGTCCTAACTAGATTCCCCTGACTACTATGTATAAAATACAGAAAATGTTTAAACCAAACATTCAAGGAGTCAATATCCAAACATTGAAACTGATAACAAGCAAAGACTTAAAAACCCACAAATGCAAAAACTCCCCTGAGTCTTAAAAAACCCACAAATGCCATACCAGTGTATGATTTCACTCAGGGATCAGCAGGGCACGTACAATTTCCCTTTCTGTATGGTGACACGATGACAGCACATTATTGCAATAACTTCCCCACAGATGTCTATTTTATGCTTGTTTCTGAACTAAAGGTTTTCACACAAATGATCTCGCTCCTTATCTCTTGAGAGGCAACAAATGCCGTACGCAAAAGTGCACTGTGTTGTGGGACTGCCTTCTGGTGCCTGTCTGAGTTCAGCTTTTATGCATCAAAAGACCCTGATGAAATTGTATCATCTTATGATATTGTTCCACAGTCACTTCTCTGTGTGTTTTGGGCTGCTGCAAACTGCTGGAGCAGTCTCAGGATGAGTACAGTACATGACTCTGCAATAGCTAAAGATAGATATCAGGTCTAGATTTACAGCTAAAACTGGTCCAGAATTAGCTGGGTTTGATTTTTTTTTTTTTTTTTGTCCCCCACTATGTAGAAGTTAATTTTTCCTCTTTTTAGAAACAGAGCTGAAGATACTCTATGATTTTTACTACTCTGCTCACTAAAGCAAACTTTGCACCTGAGAACTCCTTATTTTGTTAGTGGTTCCTGCAGAGTGAACTCCTTAAAACCGGTGATGAGTTTTCTTTCTCTTTTACTGCAGCATTTGCTGTAATAAATATGACTTCTAAATATGTGCAACATAGTTTCTTAATTATCTTTGCTCTATTATTAAGCCATACAGTTCTTCCTTTATTTCTACAGCTCGCACTCATCTGGCACAAAGAGACACATGTACTTCTTGGATTTTAAAGAACTTTGTTCTCGCTTCAAATGTAAATAATAGGAGGGAGAAAACATCAGTCTTGACTGAGTCTGCCTGCTCTGAGAAACTATTATGAATAAACAATCAAGAAGTGAAAAGCTGTACTCCTTACCTGGTCTGAGAGGTACAGTGCACCTTGAAAGCCTCTTAAATGACACAGAAGAAATAGAAATAGTTGAAAGTTTTTACTCATCCAACCAGAGGACTCAGGAAATGACTATTTTGCAACGATTAACTCCTTCCTCACTTTGAGGTCTTTCAAGTACAGCTCCACTGCAGTTTGGTAATGAATGCTCTGCCCTACACATGATTTCTATTTCACACTGAGAGTATGCAGGTGGCCAGAGGAGAAGACTCTGATCACCTCTGTGAAAGAGAAAAACTGCAGTGTCTTCTGCATAACTGTGACCAAGTACATTTTACTGTTGAGTGACACTTATGTAACAAAATGCAGAAATGACCCAGAGTAATGGCTTGACCTCCCAACTCTCATTTATAGAAGAAGTTTAGAGCAGTGGAGCAACATTCTCATCATGAATTCAGTGTTGTAGTGCCCAAGAGAGCAAGGTAAAAAATGAGATTATTTGAAGGAGTGGTATCCATTGCAGCCTGGACAAGCATTTCATATACATATGGTGTATGATACTTTTATACACAGAGGGTCTCCAGCTGAAAGTCAGGCATCCTGGAGCGTCAGGAGTTAGTCCTCTGTGCCTGAAAACCTGCCTCCTTTGCTTAAATGTATCTGTTTGACTAAAAGGCATTTCTGAGATTTAGCTTATAAACACTCACTAGCCTGAAAGCTATTAATGGCCAGCAGCCCACAAGAGCACAAGCTACTTCTGGGGAGTGGACACCTCCATACAGAGCCCAAGGTGGCACCTGGGCTTCTGAGCCTGTGGAGACACCCCATGTTGGGGTTATCTAGGACAGGTATGGGGTTGTCTTACCTAGCTCTGGGCATTTGCACTGTAGATGTCTACACCAGAGTCTGTCATTCAAGGCACTCTTGAATATAGGCAGTGGGAAAAAAAAGACCTTTGCAAGATTCTTTATCTGGGAATTTTAACATCCAAATAAGAGTTTCTTCTGTTATATAGATACATATGCTCACATGGTTGTTGTTTTGGTTTTTTTTTATGCAATCAAGATTTTATAAAAACTACAAAAAATCCTTATTCTCTGCAAGTTAAGTCTTACCTTTGTTTTCCTAATGATTATTTCCAGTAACAAAGACTCAAGAGGCATGCTCCCACAAGACACTGATGAGGCTGGTCTGCACTTGAAGTTTACCTTTTACAGTACACCACAAAAATAATGAAGATACTTAAGATCCTAGATCTGAGCAGGTGCTTAGTGTTGTTTTGGAATGGAGGACAAAACATTTGTGTGACTCCTCAAGCTATGGCTATTGATGCCATAGCTTCGTATGCAGAAACACCAGGGTATTTTACTTTGAAAACGGTTGCAGGACGGAGACTCAAATTCTCGCTTTAATTTCTCTCACTTCCACATATAAAAAATTGAAACCAACTGTCAGTATTCTCACTATGAGCCCACAGGTAAACAGGAAGGAGTTTCAGTCTCATAGCCTGAAAGAGTACAAAATATATTGAATCGGACCCCCTAAAAGCTCCTCCAAAAAATGATATTTTATTTGTTTCTTTGGTTGCTATTTTTTTAAACTATCTTCTTTTAGTTCAAATATAGCAGACTAGAAATAGAGCTTTTTCTTTTCTACTTTTTGATCATATAGTCTACAAATAATTAAAATTTTTGCAACTTTTAAATCATTACCATTTTTAAAGAAGCATTCCTCTCTAAAACTGGGGAAAGAAACTTTAAGAATGAAAAGACCCTGCATGTACTTTTGGTAAAAAGCAGTTAAATTCTACAGTTCTGGAGTACTATAATTAATATACTATTAATTAATGCTGCAGTACAATATACTGTGATATATCATAACATAGTATAATGAAAATTATTTAATAATATACTACTTCTACAAGGTAGTCAATTTGATGACGTTCATTTGGCCATGCTAAAATTTCCTCATAAAGTAATTAAGTGCTAAGAAAACATCCCTCTAAAGACTGGTCATGTCTTTCAGAATCATTATGAGCAACAGTGTGAATTTTTAACAGTGTGAATTTTTATGGGTGAGTTTCCTTTGGGTGGAGTCCATATTTAGCTTCTCACTGAGTTCAGCAGGCTTTGGAGTTCGCTTTGAGTGTCTTCCCTGGAGCTGTTTCAAGCAGTCTGTGAGTATTTGGGTTCCTGTCTTTGTTGGCAAAAAACCTGCAATTCGACTGTGTTCTCCTGGGAAACAGGGACATGACTTTTGTGTAGGATATTTTAGACTAGTCTGGTGGCATTTTAGACTTTTTTTTTTTTATTTTTTAAGTGATGTTAGAAAGCTCATCAGTATCTTTCCAGTGCAGAGGTCTTCCTCTACAGTCAATCTGCAACAGCCTTGAGGTTGACCTGAATGTGGCTCTGGTTCCTGGAGCCCAGAGGAAGCAGATGCAGATGGGGATCTGATTTGCACAAGGCTTTGAGGGCTACCCAGCCTCAGGCCATACCAACCTTTTGCATAATAAAAAGAGAAAAAATAAACGGTTTTGGGGTTTTGGGGAGCTGCACTAAGGCTGAATGTTATCATTCATTAACAGCAATGCTATTCCCAGAGAAGCAAACACTAGATTCTCTTCTGCAGCTGAGGAGGGTCTGGAGGAATGCAGAATTGCAGGCTAAACACAGGACCTGCTTAGGGGTCTCTCTGATGGACCTAGCCTGTCATTCTATGAGCAGAGGAAGGTCTAAGAGTGGGAGGACATGACACAATGTTAGCTGTGACATGAAAACAAGATGAATGAAGCTGTCATTCTACCTTTCCAAGGGGCTCCTCATCTCAGCTTTACCTGATCTGTGCAGCTCTGCTGGAATTCAGCTTTAGATGCACTGGGACACAAAGAGATCAGCAGCTTTCACAAGTGGTGGTGGGAGGTCTGTAAGTACAGTGATATGGGAGTGTGACAGTAGGCAACCTTCAAAAAAAGTCCTGTGATTTGGGAGTGATAAGATGGAAGAGTAAATCTGTACAGAAGTGAGAGAAGGTGGCAGGAGCAAAGGAGACTGAGAGGAGTCCCTGATCTGTGGAAGGAAGACAAGCAGAACAGAGAGGGAGGAAAAAGGGTCTGGTGAATCTATCCGGTATCATAGCAAAGGTGAAGGAAAAGAGAAGAGTTTTCTGAGAACTTCTGCTTCTCTGTCATCCAGCACCAGGAGGTCTTGAGCAGATCTCCAGGGCTCAGGTCCATTCTAGGCAGGTGAGATAACCATGGCATGAATTGTCCTATAGCAAGGTGAGCTTTTTTTGAGGGATGAATGGCAGGCAGGCAACCAGTGAAAAGAATGAGGAGACCTCTGACTCAAAACCAATCTAATTATCTCTAATCTATGTAACACCAACCCACTCTCAGAATTCAGAACTGAGTTGTGATGCCAACAGTGATAGGAAATACAGAATACATGGCAGACAGAACACATGACTTTGATGCTCATTGTCCAGGTAGCAAAACTCTTTTCTGCCCAATGCTGTTGCCCTGTGTGCTATGATGCCTTTACACATCTGAAGAAACTCCAGTCCTCAGTTATGACTGTTTGTTCATTTTAGTGCTACCATGAAATTACCTGTGGAGCTTTCCAGAAAGGAGACATTCCTATCAGTTCTTAAGGAATAAGCAGATATCTTGGCCAATTACTTCTAGTTAGATTCATTACAGATATTCCTAGGCCCATGGAGGTGCGGTATGGTGAGAAAGAAAACGTACCTAACAGTTCTTTCTTGCACATGAGATGTGACCTGGCTCCTTGCCCAATGTAACAGCCTTCAAGGGTCAAAACATTTGGTCTGTCAGTTATCCAACCCCCAAAATTGCAGGTTTGTGTAATGTTGCCAAAGAACAAATGAATAGAAAAAAACTCAAAGCAAAAAAATTCATGTCAGTATTTCCAAACTGACATCTTTTCATTTCAGCATAGGAAATTTCTGTCATAGGAAATGAGAGCTGCTGCCTAATTGAGTGGCAGTGGTAGTAGTACATGATATGGGTCTTTGCTTTGTTTGAGATGGGCCTTCCATCCTCTGGAGGAGCATTTCAGTAACTGGACTGCAGAGCCTTTTGGGGCCAGGATCTCTCCAACTAGATCTGTTCTACCATGGCCAGGGAAACTTGCTACTTTTTACACTGAGGTGAATGTCTTGGTCACACCTCTGAACCAAACAGTCTCAGGACTTCCAGAGTCTCAACATCTCCCCCTGCAAATACACTCACGCTTTCCTCTTGGTCTCTATGCAAAATTTGAGGGATTCTCCAAAGCAAACTCCTGGCATATGTTTTTCTTGCAGCAAAGATTCAGGTGAATGAGACCTTATTGCAAGCAAGGGGTGAGAAAAAGCCTGTGAAGGGATAGAGGGAGAGTGATGACAGATGGCAGAGGAGAGTTAGAACTCTATGATGTGCAAGGGGAGTGGAGAAGCAAGGGAGCAGAGAAAAGAGGGAAAGCCCTTAGGTAGGATGAAGCAGGGGGCACAGACACCAAATCAGGAATAACCATGCATTGTGGCATGCATCAGAGAGCACATTCAGATGCAGCAATTGTCTTTCCTGTTGGATGTTGTACAAAATATTGAAATACTCTCAGTGCAAAATGAATCTGTAGTCCAGTGACTGGTGACTGTTCCTGGGAGGGAGGTGATGCTTGGAATGAGAGCCAAGAGGTGTCTCAGTTTCCTGCAGCTTAAATTAAACCCCACTTTGTGAAACACCAGAGCTCTGTTTCCGGGTCTGTAGCTGCCACCTCACAGCACTCCTGTGAATCTAGCTGTCCCTAGATTCACTCCTGTGAATCTAGCATTTTTAAAAAGAAAAAATCCCAAATGAAAAAAAAATGGCTCTGGACTGTAATTAAAAAATTAATCAGCATAAAACAAAGTACAAGTTTCTTGATCTAGTAGAAATAAATGAGATTTTTATGTCTGATCCTCACCATGGTGGTGTTTTTAAGGTTCTAATCACTTTGTCATTGCTGTTTTTATCACTGCCTCCATGATAGTTCAAAAGCTCAATGTGAATAAATCCACCTGCACAGCACGAAGCAGCTAGACCCTTAGCTTGAATTGACTCAGCTTTGAGAAAACTTTTAACTGCCTTTTAAATGGTTCAGAAAATTGCATGTTTACTGACAGACTGCTGGTTTGACTAACCCTTACAAGGCAGA